CCCTTTAAGAGGCTGCCTTGGTTTTTTCTTCCTCCAACTCCTTCTGCAATCTTGTCTTCTCCTCCATTGCCCTAGCACGCTCATCCTCCAGCTCCTTCTGCAGCCCAGCACTCTTCACATCTACTTCATCCTTCTCTTTGATCTGTTGGGCGCGCAGTTCTTCATTGTTGATCATAGCCTCTTCAAACCTCTCGGTGGCGACCGTGCAGGCATTCTGAGCATCCCCCAACTTCTTCTGCTCGCCAGCCAGCTGGAACTTGAGCGACACTACCTTGCGGAGTTTGTCCTCTAGCTCCAACTTGACCGTAAGCAGCTCAGCATGGGCTCGGGCGACAATATTACACTGAACGATCGCCAACACTTCCATTTTCTTCGCCTTCTCAACCTCCTGCCAACCCCTGGCACACGCGCCTCGCGCAACCTTCTTCCAGCTTGCACTCTCCTTCTTGAAACTTGCAAATTAGGCCTTAGCCTCCTCCGACTTGACCTTCGCAACCTCCGTCTTTCTCAGCAGAGCCCCTGCTAAGGTGGTTACCTCCATTTGGGCAGAGCACAACCCCCTTAGTAGCTCAGCCTCATTGAACCTGGCCACCGAGTGCACGGCTGTTTCGTCCACAATCCCCACAAGGCGATCTGCAGCCGCCCTGGCTGGGCCTTCTTCTCCCTCCAGCAGCCCAGACACTGCGCGAACGTGGTAGACGCCCTCCCTCTCCCTCTATGCCTTCACCTTCTTCACCCTCTCCTCTGCGGCAGCCCCCAGCTTTGGCTCCATAGACTTGGTGGGTACTCTCCACACCGTGCGTACTCCAACTCCGTCATTCGCGGATACGTAGCACCACCGCGGCCTCCATCCCTTAATTGATGACGGCAACCCCGCCACCAAACCCCTTCCTGCCGCTGCCTGCAAAGTGACCCGAGTTTCTTATTGGCCCGAGGCCTTATAGCAGGCAAAAAACTCGTCCACCAACATGGTCGCCCCCTCGTTCGCCTTCGGCCACGCACTTGCACAGTCTAGTACAATCTTTCATGCGTTGGACATTAGTTGGACTGGCGCCACTTCCAGTCGGTTGAGGACATCCACTACTACCTGTGGAAGCGGCAACCTCAACCCTTCCTTCAACGCCTCCTCATAGAGGGCAAACTCCCCCGACCGGGCGTCGGATGGCCTCTCCGTTGCTGTCGGTGACATTAACTCTATTTCTTCAGGCACCTGGTATTTTTTCTGCATACCCTCCAACTCCTCCGCCGTAATGGTTAACTTGTCGGCCTTCGTATGCTAGTGATCTGGCTCAGCCTGGCTAATTGGCTTCAGAGCTGCTATCATTGTCAACGGACGAGGTAAACCCGCCGGCTCCCCTAACTTCTCCACTTGCCTCTCCCTCCTATATTGTTCTGTCAGGTCAACCACGCCATCATCCCCTAGGGGATCAACCCTTGCGGTGGTTGCTTCCTCTTGTGCCATATCTGTCATATATCTTCGAATAGCTTCGGATGCAGGCACAAGAAAATTCAAGAAGTGTTGCGGGAGCGTATCGTTAGCAACGATGGAATTTACGCTTGGAACGTTTTGATGTTTTGCACAAAGATAGGGAAAGCGAATAATCCCAAAGGCCCAAGGTTTGCTCGTATTCCAAGGGTCCCTATTAAATTTTGCCAGTTTGAAATTTTTTCAAAACACTGCCAAAACTGTCCTTTCAACACTCTATAATGACCTATCGTTTCACTTCTGGCCCAACGCCTAACCTCCCCCACCACGAGATGCTGCCACGTGTACGACCACGATTCACTGCCCCCTTCCCCTACCCTGTCTTTTCCACTTCAAGTCATCACGTGACGAGCCGCCTCTCGAGCCCCGCACCCCGCCACCTCACCCTTTGCGGTCGGCCCTTCTTAAGGTCGGTCCCTCCACTCGGCTACCCTTCGCGGTCGACCTTCCTCACGATCGGTTCCTCCACTCGGCTACCCTTCGCGGTCGGCCCTCCTCACGATCGGTCCCTCCACTCAGCTACCCTTCGCAGTCGGTCCCTCCACTTGGCTACCCTTCGCGGTCGGCTCTCCTTACGGTCGGTCCCTTCACTCAGCCACTTCTGGTCGGTCGTTCCTTTCCCTTGACCTTCAACCCCCATCTTCCTCATTATTCCGTTCGTTGGACTAAAGCTGCACTTGGGAATAGGGGACTACTGACGTGGGTAGGCCCATAAAGGCCATAACCCACTATGAACAACCCAAGTCTACCACTTAGGGCTCAATACATAACCCAACTGATAAGGCCCAGCACCATCTGGAAGTCAACATGGCATGAAGGACCAATGATATTCAGACCCGTGGCAAGTAAAGGGCAAGCCATATCAGCAGACAAAGATCTGCAAAGTTATTGCCGCTGCACATCGCCATTAATGCAGCCCCTCACTGTATTTATTACGACAACACCTCTCCATCGGGACAGCACGGCCTCACCCTGAACAAGGTAAGCTACAGCATAGACTTTTGGCCAAGGTGACAAGTCGGAAGGGACAACGAAATGATTACCAAAGGATATAGACAAACGTTGAAGACAAGAAGAAAGTTAAGCTTTTCTATCTCTAATCTATTTGCATATTCCACTCTCTCTCTCTAACTTGCTCGTCAGAGGGTTCGCTGGGGGACTCCCCGTTTCCCGTTGAACTCTTGTGCAGGTTCTCTGGTGGGCTTGGTCATTCGAATATCAGGCTTGAAGAGCATGGATCAGTCCAACCTATCCTACCATCAAAAACTGCATCATCAATTGGAGAATTCCAACACACACGGTAGAGTTTTTCATATGATTGGAGAATTCTAGAAGGTTTCAAAAAGTTTTAGAGAAATTTCGAAGATTTTATTACATTCCAGATCAATCCGTAATATTTGAAAATTTTGGAAAAAATCTAAACAAATGTAGCAAGCTCTGAAAAGTTTTAAAATATCCTAGAGAATTATAAAATGCTCCACTACTAGAATAATTTAGAAAATTCTAAAATATAATTTAAGATTTCATTTAGTAAAATTATTTTTTTTAATTTAAAAGTTAAAAAATTATTAAAAAATTAATAACTTATACAAAAAATTTAAAGATTCTCTTTTCTTTCTATTTTTTACACATCTTTTCATAAAAAATTGAAAAAAATCCCAAACATACTAAAATTTTTTTACATCATATTTTAGTCAAAAAATCAAAAAATTACCAAAAAATACCTGTTCCCAAACGAATATTCTATAAGCCTCATAATAGTCATTGGATCAAGTTGAATATTCATCTTAGAATATTCATATTCATCTACACAAGCCGTTGCAAAAAAATACATAATTTTGAAAGAAAAATCTCGATAAAAAAAATCAAAAAAAAAGTAGCTCATTTAGCACTTCCCAAGCAGAGACTATGAAACAGAAAAATTTGAAAAAAGAGATTCCTGTGCTTTTAGAGAGATAAACTTTTGACCCCTACTTTCAGCCACTTCAATAGTTCCTCTAAGAAATCTATTCTATTATTAAAGGTAACAACAAATTTGGTGTCATAAAGCCGCTCCTCATAAAATTTTTCTAAATTTTTTTAAAATGATCCTAACTTTTTAAATAATTATATTATTTTTATACTTATCAATTTGTAATTAAGGGTAAATAATAAATTATAACCAATCCCACTTCTCATGATACCAACCAATCTCACCTCGCACGTTTTCAAACTGCTATGCAGTTTTAAATAGTTTCAACATCTTCACCCCTCTCTCTTGCTATAAAATCTTCCTTTTTATTTGTCAATGATTTTTTTCTTTTTTTTTTTGAGAAATACTATTTAAGAACATTGCAATCTTATGATTCTCTTTATCCGAAATATATATCTACTGCTTATCCTACATTGTAAGTGTAGTATTGTTAATTATATTTTTATTTTTTTCAATAAAAAGTTTCATTATGTAATTAGGTTCTTTGGAGAAAAAAATATATTGATTGAGAACACTATTATGTATTTTTTTTTCTTCATTAAAAAGTTTCATTGTCTGTGTTTTTGGAAAAATAAAAAATAAAAATAAGTGCTCATAATTTTGTGTGTGTGTGTTTTTGAAGAAAAAAAAAACCGGTATTTTTTGTATTTTCATTAAATTAATTTTTAGGTTCTTAATATTTATAAGTGTTTTTAATTAAACACTTTGACACCTGTGTGCAATTTTTTAGAGACTTAAATAGTTTTGGATTTCTTCCTATTTCACTTTTTAAGCTATTGTTTCTTTTTGTGTATAAATTCAGTTTTTTTATAATTTGATTTGTTTGTTTGTTTACTTTTGTGAGAACACTATTATGTATTTTTTTTCTTTATTAAAAAGTTTCATTGTCTGTGTGTTTTGAAGAAAAAAAAAAAAAATCAGTGTTTTTAATTTTGTGTATTTTTGAAAAAAAAAATCAGTGTTTTTTGTATTTTCATTAAATTAATTTTTAGGTTCTTAATTCATATTTAAGCAGGCTTCTTTAAATAATTTGGCACCATGTGTGTGAAATTTTTTAGATTAGACTTAGACTTAAGCACTTTGGGTTTTTTTTTTTTTTTTTTTTTTCCTGTTTTACTTTTTCAAGCATTTGTTTATTTTTGTGTATAAATTTAGTTTTCCAAAATTTGGTTTGTTTGTTACTTAATTGTGTGTGTTTTTAAAAAATATTCAGTGTTCTTAAAAAAAAATCAGTGCTCTAAGTGCCTTGGATTTGCATTTTTGTATGTCTTTTTATGTAATATTGTTAATTATACTTTCTATAAAATGAAATGTTTCATTATTTTATAAAGTTATAAAAATAAAAAAATCGACTTTTATTTTTCTTCTTTTTACCAAAATTTGTGTTAGTGAGCTTATTATGTTTCCAATAAATTGATTTGTTTGTTTTCTTAATTTCGTGTGTGCCTTTCTTTATAAAGATTTGTACATATTTTAATATATATATATATATATATATATGTATATATTTTATTTATCAAATATCAAATGTTACATTGCACATGATAATATATATGTACATTATTTAAAAAAATGTCAATTTCATATTATAACTTTAAATGAGTTTGCACATGCATCGCGTGTACCCGGCTGCTAATGAAACAATAATTTTAAGAATGTCACAACATACAATGCTGACATTAGGGGCAGCAAACAAACACCACCATTTAATTCCCAAAATTGCTTTTGGGCTCATCTTTTACTTTGCAACTGATGCCCCCCAAACCCACAACCGTAAAAATTAATGCAGTATTGGTATGGCTGTTGCTTCAATGTTAGGTCATGCCATGATCTGACAGCAAGGCTGATTTCAAATGCTGATGTGCATCGGTTCCAGATGGATGCCCATATCCATCTACTTGAACAGCTCTTGCATTCTTCAAATCAGAAGAATTATGCATCCCTCTAGGATTTTGATAATGTTGTGCAGTAGTTCTTCAGCCATTCAGAAGCAGATTTAAGGACACGAAGCTCGCCAGCAAGGAGATCTCGAGCCATTTGTTTCCTCAGAGCAAATTTTTGAAACATGAAGGGAGAACTAGAAGGCTCCAATGACTGTTAACAAACAAGCAAGACAAGCAAGCTTAGGCCATGTAACAAGTTGACAAAGAAACTTAGCATACTCATTCTAATCATCGGGGTACTTTTTGTTATCCATTCAAGACCAAATGACACCCCCAGATGGGCAGAGATGATCCACAGTTTTTTTTTTTTTTTAGAAAGCACTTTTTGACAAACAATAGTGCATGCAAAAGCTCTAACGTCAATATCAATTGTCATTTTGAGGCACCAAAATTAGTTGCACAAAATAATTATGAAGCAAAAAGGAAAGTGGTGGTAAAACATTCTTTTACATGTAGTTTGTAACGATGTGTGCATGGTTACCTTAATAGACACATTATGTTCCTCAACTAAACGAGTAATCTTTGAAAGCAAGAACCAATGCGCTTCCAACTCTCTGGTTTTATTCTTCAAAGGATGTCGAGCCAGCCTGCCATCATTTTGCACAGCTTCCATGGCCAAATCACTTAACTCTGGACATTTAAAATCAATAAAAAATTATTAATTTTTGCTGGTAAATCAAAAACATAGAAACAAAAATAATTTGCAAACAGAAATTGTTTAAAAGAATTTCGATCTACCAAACAGTATAAATTTCAAAGAGAATAGCACGATCTGAACCTTGAGAAGAAGTGGAACACAGAACACGAGCAAATGCACGAAGAGATTGCGGAATTCCCCTCCCTTTCCCTTTTGCAGACCTCACTTCCCTGTATGGTAATTAAGTTATCCGAAATAGAAGTAGATATTAACTAATTTATTTCGATGCCAAGTTCCCATTTAGTTAAAGCATTGACTTATGCACATACAAGGACAGTCTATAGTAGGTAGCTCATAAAGCTTCAACCAATAATTTAAGTCAAAGTGAACTTCACAATCTCAAAAAAGAAAAATAAGGAGGCATCAGTGTAATATTAAGGACAAATTTTAAAGTGCACTAAAAATAATAGTATAATTTGGGTTCGATACCATATTTTTCTCTTTGGGTGAGGAGGATAAATTGGTAAATTCGTTCTCTTCTTAGGGGGTGAGTTGGTCTTAGGGTCTAACTAAGGTTAACACAAAAAAGAGTGATATTGTGGGAAAGGGTGGAGAGTTAAGCAAGATAGGTTGTACAGGTTAGCAAGGTAGTTGGGTTGTTCCATTGAGACTTCACCACTGAAGGATGTTGAGGATCCTCTCTGGAATTGGAAAAGACTGGAAGTTAGAGAAAAACATTTATCTCTGAAGGGGGAGATTTACCTTGGTTTAATCGGTATTGTCTAGTATTCCAATTTACTATTTGTCTTTGTATAGAGAAAATTCTCTGGGCAAAGAACTTTTCCCTCTCCCATCTGTCAACCCTAGCTTGCAAAAAAAAAAAAAAAAACTAACTAGCAAGTTTATCGTTCTCAGCACAGTTCACAGCACCCAGACCAACCCTAAACTCCTCTTCTTTCTTGATTAACTACAGCCCTAAAACTCTACCCTTTTGTAACTCGCATAAACTAATTATTTATTAGCTTCTGGTAAAACTCAATATATTCAGCAATAAAGCAGCCATTTTACCATTGCATATATTAAATTTGGGCTTAGGTGTAGGAGAGTGTTCTACACACTTGTCAGTAACCCTTTCTTTCTTTTCTTTATGACAAAAAAAGTTACGTCTTCCCTTAATTTTTCAAAGATTGTTATTTTCTATATACTTGTTTCCATCTTAATTCAAGATAGTACAGAAAGCGCAGTACTAGATTTAATATTCAATTGTATCCTGGCTTAAGGTATTAGATTCCATGAATAAGAACCAACTTGATTGTGAAGGAATCCTGAGAAGAGCTGAAGCCGTTGACATCTTCAATGGCTGGTGTACAATGTACATGTAGGAGTTCCAACTTTTTTGCACAGAGAGGATCATGACGAGGTATATTGACCTGAATCCGAACCTGAGAGTAACTCATGTCATTTGCAAAACAAAAAGGTCACAATTTGTAATAGATAACCCTACATTTGGCCAGAAAAATAAACATCGCTCTATACATAATTCCTACGGAAGATTTTTTACTCTTTTTTTGTTTATTCCCCCTTTTAATTTAGTGCAAGGCATGATGGTTCCTATTATTTGAATATTAACCGAGTTATTGGACAGAATATCATATATTTTGATCGTCAACTGACAAGAATACTTTAAAAAAGCACTATTTAAGCTACACTACGATGTTATCTCATATAGAACTTTACCATGATGCACCTTTTCAATTTAAAACCTGAGACTAACCTCATCATAAATGTTGTAGGAAAGTGTAAACCCAAAGTCCAACAGAAGAGTGGCATTTGAAAATTTTCCATATCTTATCAAAACCTGAAGAAAATTATGGGCATACATTAATCAGATCTCAGAAGGAAAACTATAGAACCACAGAATTCACAGCCTTAGAAGACATCACTAGAGAGGATGGTAACAAAAGAAACAAATATAGATAGAATCCTCCTATTATGAAACATGAATTTTAAATCTATTATACTCAATAGTTAAGACCCTCTCTCTCTCTCACACACAAGTAAGCTGCAAGGTGCAATAACTCATATCAAAGATGTTAAAAACCCATCTCAAGCTGAGTAATTTTTTTCATTTTTAAGGCTACCTCTGAAACAACCAGACTATATTTTTTTTTCCCGCACTTTTTGGCTGATTTAACAATTATACTCAGCGAACCATAACAATTTAGATTTTATTGTCTTAAGGCAAGGACAAAAATTTCCTAACAAAATTAGGATATTTTTATGACAGTGGTACAAACCACATATGTAGGGGGACTCGAACCCAGGGACGCTAACAAAATAAAGATATAATCACATAACACCAAAATTTTGACCAAGAGAACCATATGTATGATACTTCTTGACAAGCAGTTTCACCAACATGAGCCCCTATATGTTCCAGACGACAATTTTGCATCATCAAAAAACAAATAGCTCAAGTTTTAACATATGGAGAACTAAAAGCTATAAATAAATAAATAAAAATTTAATAAAAAATAAAAATAAAATAATAAAAAAACTATTGAAAGAAGATACATCATTTAGATATGAGAAGAGAAACTAATCTACTAATATGGCATTACCTGATCACCAGGGGAATAATTACGATCGGCAATAACCTGCAAAGTTAAATACATACAATTAGAATAAGAATCAAAGTGAACTTTCAATAGAACAAACTAGAAATGTACAAAATAGACTGACATTGAGCCTTTTAATTTATAGAAGGGGCATTAACCAGTGCTTTGTTTCAATTGGGAGTTCTTTAGGAGAGACCTTATCTTTAGCTTTATTTGCATGAAATGACTGTCCTCAAACTTTAAACACTTGTTTCAGATATGCTGATAACAATTCAGCATTGTTTTCAGATATGTTGATAACATAATTTGAAGGAAAACCAATCACATAAAGACAAACTGAGTTACACTCTAAACTGGGTTTACAAATGCACAATACTAGTAGAAAATGAATTCATGGTGCAAGAATGACGCAAACAATTTAACTATATGAAAACTATAATGGTGCAAGGCAAATCAAACAGAAAACATTCGATGCCCACTCGTTGAGTTGCAGAAAGGCAATAATTATAGTTGCAGAGTGGGAAGGATAGGGAGGAGGGTGGTTGGACACACCTCTGAAAGTTTTTTGTCTTCATCACTCAATACAACTTCCTCCGCGGCACCATCATGATTTAAAAAATCTGCAAATGGAATCTATGTAACATTTTACTAATCAAACAATATTAAGATCAGGAACTTGCACCCAAAAAAAAAAACAATTATCCTTGACATAGATGTGAAACAAACATAAATGAGAGCAGCATCATATTAATAGCATACCAGAGATACACCCCTTGTGCTTCTCCATGCCCGAGATTCAACTGAAATGTCCATAGTGAACCCATCAAAATAAGTCAAGAAATCATAATCCACACAATAACTGCATATGAGTAAACAAAAATTTTTCTTTCTTTCTTGAAGAATTTGTAAACAGAGAACTAAGATGACAAAAGTATGCACATTATTAAACATTATTAAATCCAAAGTTTAATTTCATTCTGAACAAACTTTAACAGCACAGATATAAATTTTAAATTTCAGCATAAAACAAATATTCACATTCAAAGTATCCTATTGCCCACTGACACAAACTCATTGTGAAATTTATGCATAAAAAACCAAACCATACGATGAAAAATTAAAACACTACCAATGAAACTCAACTGAACACACAAAACATGTGGAAAGAAGCTCTATGGCTCAAATATGAGTTTTTTCCGGATAAATTATGGCTCAAATATGGGAGTCAAATGAATTTATCACATTCATTTACTGCAGGATAGAGAAATCATGGTTAGTAAATATTTTGAATGAAATTTTGTACCTAAAGCATATGCATGCCGAAAATCATCAAATGTAATGCCATCAAAAAATTCAGGGAAGTGACCAAAAGCCTGAAATCAACAAAGAAGGTTGTTTATATAATAAAGCGTATGAAGATCTCCAGGCATTAGCAGTGTACAAGATTACATCATACCAGTAATATGAAATGTGATAAATAAGATCTGCTGGATCAGCTCAATTATTCTGTTATAAGTTAGAAGTAGAGTTCTTTTACTAAATGAATTGCAATGCATTGCCAACAGCATTGAAGCCTCAGTACGTACACCACCAATTGGATGCATATGGAGTGGGGAAAAAATTAGTAATTAAACTTATCAATTAACCAAAATAACAAGTGCTTACTGGTTTAACTGCCAAAAAATTCTTTTCAATCTGCACATTTTTTTTAATTGTTTCCTGATATACTGAGCTTTGTCGAATCATGTCCAACTCCCTTTCGCTCCAGAATATCTACAATGAATCCAACAGCACTCATCTAAACATGCTACAAGATCTTGCGCCCTCCATAAAATGCTTATAGCTAATTCATCACATACAAGTTCAACTAATGAAATAAAATGTGAATCATAAAAATTTGGTTTAATAATGAAGAAGAAGAAACATATTGTCTAAAACTAGATGATTCTTGTCAATCATACAAAAGAACATCAACTGAAATGCTAAGCAGAATTCATTTTTGCTAGTGCCAAAGCATCAACCAATAGAGGTTGCCAGAACGCTAATGTCAGTGTACACTGAAAACATGGGAGCACGTATCATGTAAAAATTTATGTATTTTAAGTGTTAAATAATAGTGTTGACAACTTTTAGAAAAAAAATTCCAACATATACTAGACTCCTTCAGGTATAATTCTGTCTGTTTGAGGAGTTACAGAACAGATTTATACGACCAACCCCACCATCCATCATAAATCTGGAAAGACCAATCTGAAAGGAAAAGAAAAAGAAAAAAGGGCAACCCAATGCACGAGACTCCGGCCACTACAAGTCCGGGGAGGTTCAGAAGTATGCAACCTTACAACTACATGAGAATGGGTTGTTTCCGTGTTTAGAAGTTGTGATGCCAAGATTTCAACGGACTATGGAGCAACCTCGTTGCTGCTCGGCTGCTCCAAGGGTCCACCCTCATGGAAAAATCAATCTACCAGACCTAAATGTTCATTTTAATGCAGGCCTCGTGCCTAGTAACTAATGCACCACAGCCACATTTTCATTCACCTCAGACTATAAGTAGCTTCATATCAACGCAAGACCAGGTACTTCTCCAGCTTGGAAATTTTTAATTTCCAAGACGGTACCGGGTACCCCAGCACAAGAAGGGCTACGTAGCAGTTGATCTGACTAATCATGAAACACAGAACTAAAAGCAACTAAAGACGGTAAAAAAATCATTCCCAGTGTTCTCTCATTGCTGAGTTTCATCCATTTACTCAAACACAAACATATAATTCTCTAGCCCCAAAGAGCGTGCCACTAGTGCGTATTACACCACCAACAATACTCAAAATTTGACTGACTAAATGAAATGTACGTGATCGTGACTTATTCACAACAAGAACAAAACATTTTACCGTGTTATGCATCTCTCCAAGCTGCGGAAGACGGCTCATAAAAGGGGCCCATTCAGAGTGCTGCACAAAAGAACAAAGCGGAAAAGAACAAATCATTTAGCTCATCAAAAGACGCCCTATAATTATAAAATGGCAACACAAGCCCATGCACATACAAAATTAAAATCTGTGAGAATATGTCAAATATGCACAACTATCAATAGTACTTGTACATATTATTCATAGAAATATTGGAAAAAACAAAATTGTACCTGACCCATTTTTTGCTCAACTATAATTACTATAGCAAGCGTTGCAACATTGCTAACTTCGTCAGGTAACAAGGAATTAATTTCTGGGAGGAGATTATCTGATGCTATTTGCTACATTAACATGAAAAGAAGTGTTTACTACAGATCGCAATGCTTGATGCAATTAGATGCACATATGGAAATATTAGTTGAGAATACCATACCACGTTGTAAGGAACTTTTAACATGCAATCCCCAGGTTCTATTGATTTTGAAGCTAATAATGACCTACAGTCAACACAAGAAGCCCAAAATAATACACATGTTTTCCAACATTTTCCACACCACAAGTTTATTGTGATGAAACATGAGGGATTGTCACACTAACAACAAAGCCAAAGGAAAAAAGAAGGCACCTAATTGTTAGTCACACTTTGATTTTGTGCACAGCCGGGGTACTGGAGATTTTGTGCACAAGGAAAAACTTATGGTTATCAATTTTAAATTAGAATGAGAGACCTGTTTGGTTTGTAGATTTTTGGCTTAAAAAGTCAAAAAACAGAAAAGCCAAAATATCACATCATACACATCAATCAATCACTTTTTCCCTCACAACTATTTGTTCAACTAAAAAAATCATTCCAAATACACTTAACTTTTTTCACTTTATAAAAAAACCACTAAAAAACCAAGTTGCCAAATGGGCATTGAATTCTAAATCAAATCAAATACTTTCTTTCAAGAGCCTTGATTTTAAAAATGAGCATCTCCACCCAAACCTTCAAATTTTGATATATCAAACTTTATTGAAGGCTTGGGTGGCAAATTGGCATATGCCAATTTGACATTTCTTACAAGAAAGCTCTCCACCCGATATGCCAAATTTATTATTCTATTATTTTTTACACGAATAATTTCTTTTTGCCAAAAAGGTATAAACTACATAGCATGTCATGCTGAGGTTCCTGCCAAAGCCACATCACCATTTGAAGTCTTAGGTGGAGCAAAGACTTGGGGTCATTTATTACTGTTGGTGTGCCAAATGGAGTTGCTAAGATGCTGAACTGGCTGTGACTTTAAGAAGATTAAGGCCAAGTTTGGCATGTGGCAAAAAAGTTAAAAAGTTAAAACCTTATCACTATTCACCAAAACTCAAAAAGTACGGCTGCACAACTCTCAATCCTAATTTTCCTCTATACACTAATTTATACAATTTTTTAATACACATTTTTCTATAAAAAGTCAAAAAGTTAACCCAAACAACCATATGTTCTTCCTCAACTTTTTAGTCTAAAAAGTTAAAAAGTGCACTTATTTAGGATATTCCAAACAACCCCTAAACTTCATAACAGAAAAGCAACATTTTAGAACAACAATCACCATGAAAAATGCTCATAATAACTAATTGCTTAAATATGGCTTTACAGGTTCAATGATGAAACCATTGTGGGGAGAAGGGAAGTTGGAAGAGCAATCCTAAAACCTGCCATAAGCTGATTTTCCAATCGAAAGCACTGACGAAATCTTCGTCCCGGCCTTACGCTCCAACCACGGCAAAAAATTATCACACTCTTCATCTGAAGAACATGAAACCTGAGACAATGATTCAGCAGTGCAGCTTTTTTAGCTTAAGAACTAAAACATTGAATCAATTTAAGCCACAACCCAACAAATTTCAAACCAGAACAACAAAATCCACCAACTAAAACATTCAATTTAAACCACAACCCAATAAATTTCAAACCAGAAAAACAAAATCCAACAATTTGGCAGTTGATTTTTTTTTTTTAACAGAATGGAAGGAAGGCCTCTGAGAGGCATAACAATATGTAAAAACCAATTTTAGTTTCTTCTATTTCCCTGCAATTTCACTGAAGCCAAACAGAAAAAATTGTCGATAAAATTTTGATTCTACGGTTAGAGATAGAGTGAACCTCGACTGAAGAGAATGTGGATAATTTGAGCTTGGTTATGCTTGGGCGATTGGAGAGAGTGAAGAGAGGACGATGAAGCCAACAATGATTAGCAATTCGTGTGATCGATAACATTGCCTTGCCGAGAATGTGTAGATGCAAATTTTCGTATCTAGGGTTTCTGATCCTTGTGTGATCTCTCTGTGGTCCGCTAGGTCATGTTTGGTTTCGAAACTATTTTTTAAAAAGGAAAAATAGTGAAACATACTTGATAAAAAATTTGTGTAATTATACCGGAAAATTTTTAAAATTTCTCTGTAAATCAGATGAATTTTTTCATAAAAATTAATTTTCCTATGTCAGACTGAAGTTTCTGTATCAAATTTTTTCTGCGAAAATATTTATTAATTATTTTAATATTATAAAAATATTATGTGTCATTTATTTTATAAAATATTAATATTAGAGACTTTAAAAAAAAATTATAATTTTTTTAAAAAAATAAAAATTCATCTGACGAAATTAAATATTAATAATATATTTTTAAAACATAAAATTATATAAACATGATAAGTATTTTTTATTTTTTTATCAAATTAATTTTAATATTTTTTGTAAAAACAATTTGGAAATGAATTCTAAAAATCAAATCAAATTAAAAATATTGGACAATAAAAAAAAAACTAGGGTTTGAGGTATAACAAAATAAAACCCTAATTTTTAATATTTTCAATTTAAATCCTACTTTTTATTTATTTTTAATCCAAATTATTCATCTATTTCCGTAACTAAAATAGATTGAAATAAATATTTTAATAATTAAACTCAAAATAAATATACATAAAATGTCTAAAATACTCATTTTATTGAGTTTAATAACATAAAATGTCTAAAATACTCATTTTATTGAATTTAATGATTAAAATATTTACTTTTCTATTACTTTTACTTAACAAAAATAAATAAATAATTTATATTGACAATAAATCAAAAAATTATGATTTAAATTAATAAAATTATAAATTCAATGCTTAGGGTTATATTTTTTTATCATTCCGCACAATTTAACTTAAATAAATAGATAAATTAGTTTAGATCCTCGCTCAAGCCTCCGTTTGGAAAGTAGGTTGACTTTTTGGCTTTTTTGTTTATTTTAGCCTGGGCTAAAAAGCTTGGTTTTGAAAGGACTCTTTGATTTTTTTTTCACTTTTTTTGTGAGAGAAGAGTGTAATGATTATGAATTGAATATAATGTTTTGTTTGTTGTGGCTAAAATAGCCTATTTTATCAGTTGTGGCTATTTTAGCCCAAAAAAACCCAAAAAGCCTCTTCCCAAACAGGGGAAGTTATGTTATTCTCAAATGAGATAAATAAAATATGATGAAAAAATTTAAGGCTCTGTTTGGTGAAACTCTAGAAAGTTAGTTCCAGAACTTCATTTGAACATAATGTTTGTTTAGGATTTTTAAAAACTAATTCCACACTCACTTTTGAAGATGCTATCGGAGGCAGGAAAAATTTGGACTATTGGTCGTCCCACCGGACGTTCCACCAGTCGTCCAGCCAGTTGACCAGAACAGTGTAATTTATTTATTTATTTAAATTTTTTTTCCTGTGCAATTGATACATGTTAATCTTATATATTCAATAAAAAATATTTTCTGAATTTTTAAACTTTTTTTATGAGTTTTAATAGAATTTTGAGTTGTGTGTTTAGTTATGAGTTATAAATTTTTATATCAAATATCATATGTTACATCAAAAATTCCCAACTCAGTTAAAAACTCTTTCACCAAACAAATTTTTTATACTTAAATTATAATTCCAAAACTCACAAACTCAAAATACAACTCTATTCTCAAATCATATTTATAAAATTTTACCAAAAGCAACCTAAAAATCTTAAGGCCTGTTTGGTAACTACTTGTTTGGTAATCATTTCGTTTCCAGTTTTCAGTTTATATTTATAAAAAATTTTAAAAACTATCATAAAAACATCTTTGATAATTTTTTTGGTTTATAAATGGTTGTCTCAGTTTATAAATTCGAGAACAAAACGTAAACTCAAAAAATGAGTTTACATTAGTTTTTAAACAGAAATTTAAAATTTTGACTAACGATTTTTTTTTTCAATTAATTTTTTTCAATTATTGTTTTTTTCAAATACTTTTTTTTCCCAAATAATTGTGTTCAATTATTTTTTTTCCAAATTTTTTTTTTCAATTATTTTTTTTGCAATTAATTTTTTCCCGAATTAATTTTTTCCAATTATCATTTTTCAATTTTTTTTCCCAATTAATTTTTTTAATCAATTTTTTTCAATTATAATGTGTATGATTTCATTGTCATAAATAATAACAAATAAATATAAATATTTTAGACCTAAACAAACATATTTTTTTTTTATGTTTTTAAAAATTTTCAAACATTTTATTCAAACCAAACGCGTTTGTAGTTTATGTTTTTCTAAAAATAAACAAAAATCAATTTATAAAAAAATTGTAAACATAAACTAAAAATGTAAACGTTACCAAACGCTACCTAATCATTTCATTTTCAGTTTTCAGTTTATATTTACAAAAAAATTAAAAATTGTCATAAAAACTTGTTTGATAAATTTTTTTGGTTTATAAATGGTTGTCTCAGTTTATAAATTTGGGACAAAAACGTAAATTCAAAAAATGAGTTTACGTTGATTTTTAAATAGAAATTTAAAAATTTGACTAACAAATTTTTTTTTCAATTAATTTTTTTAATTAATTTTTTTTCAATTATAATGTGTATGATCTCATTGTCATAAATAATAAAAAAATAAATATAAATATTTTTGGCCTGAACAAACATATTTTTTAGTTTATGTTTTTTAATTTTTTTCAAACATTTTGTTCAATCCAAATGCATTTGTAATTTATATTTTTCTAAAAATAAACAAAAACTAATTTATAAAATTTTTATAAATATAAACCAAAAATATAAACGTTACCTTACATTACTTTAGTGTTATTGTTTCACAAAACCCACTTAAATTAGAGTGTTTGAATATTGAAGTTATCAAAAATTCTAATATATACCTTTTTAAAAAAGGGTATATTATATACACTTTTAATTATGTTATTTTATTTTCTTTAGTTACGTTCAATTTTTTTCTTTGGTTATGTTATTATTTTAATTATGTCTTATGTTGTGTTTAATTATGACATTTTTTTTTTTAGTTACAACTCAAAAAATTAAAATTATGTTTTTTTTTTTTTTTAAGTCATAAGGTGCATGTGATGTGCACCATAGTGTTTCCCATTATATAAGTGTAATATATATATTTTTGATAATTAGATGTTCGAAATAGTTTATGCGCATCTCGACTAATCTCAAAATTCTAAAGTTAATGATCACGCAAATATCTAGTGTTTTCAAAATTTGGGATGTTTAGCTTTCATGGAATTTAAATCTATGACCTCTTAAATGATAAATTCTGTAGTTGTCTACTCCTCCCACTTAGCCAAATCCTTTTCCCCTATATGAGGGATTATACTATCCCGGGGGGTGTGGAACAGTTTTGGGGAGATTATTTACTGTTGGAATTAGGTGGTAAAATGACTATTTTGACCCTCTACTATTTAATTATGTATTATATTTAGAAAAATTCAATAAAATTTAGCTTCCGTTTGAGAAGTGGGTTGGCTTTTTGGCTTTTTTAACTATTTTAGCCTGGGCTAAAAAACTTGGTTTGGGAAGAACTTTTTGACTTTTTTGAATTTTTTTGTGTGAGAATAGTGTAATGATTATAGGTTGGATGTGATATTTTGTTTGTTGTAGTTAAAATAGCTTATTTTATTTTTTGTGGCTAAAAAAAAGCCTGGAAACCTTCTTTCCAAACGGTGCCTCTCAATTTAAAAATAAAATAATTTTATTTAACTTTTTATTGATGTTTTATTTATTTAATTTTTTAAAATAAGTTTGTATAGATATTTTATTGATGTTTTATTTTAAAATTTTGTTTATATTTTATTTAATTTCACGATTTAAATTTTAATAGATGTTTTATTTAATTTCATTGTTTAATTATTATTATTTTTAAAAACAAATTTATTTAAAATTTTAATTAAAAAAATAACATATATTTTTACTGACGAAAATAAATATTAATAATATATTTTTAAAACATAAAATTATATAAACATGATAAGTATTTTTTATTTTTTTATCAAATTAATTTTAATATTTTTTGTAAAAACAATTTGGAAATGAATTCTAAAAATCAAATCAAATTAAAAATATTGGACAATAAAAAAAAAACTAGGGTTTGAGGTATAACAAAATAAAACCCTAATTTTTAATATTTTCAATTTAAATCCTACTTTTTATTTATTTTTAATCCAAATTATTCATCTATTTCCGTAACTAAAATAGATTGAAATAAATATTTTAATAATTAAACTCAAAATAAATATACATAAAATGTCTAAAATACTCATTTTATTGAGTTTAATAACATAAAATGTCTAAAATACTCATTTTATTGAGTTTAATAACATAAAATGTCTAAAATACTCATTTTATTGAGTTTAATAACATAAAATGTCTAAAATACTCATTTTATTGAGTTTAATAACATAAAATGTCTAAAATACTCATTTTATTGAGTTTAATAACATAAAATGTCTAAAATACTCATTTTATTGAGTTTAATGATTAAAATATTTACTTTTCTATTACTTTTACTTAACAAAAATAGATAAATAATTTATATTGACAATAAATCAAAAAATTATGATTTAAATTAATAAAATTATAAATTCAATGCTTAGGGTTATATTTTTTTATAAATCCGCACAATTTAACTTAAATAAATAGATAAATTAGTTTAGATCCTCACTTAAGCCTCCGTTTGAGAAGTGGGTTAGTTTTTTGGCTTTTTTATTATTTTAGCCTGGGCTAAAAAACTTGGTTTTGGAAGGACTTTTTGATTTTTTTCACTTTTTTGTGAGAGAATAGTGTAATAATTATGGATTGGATGTGATGTTTTGTTTGTTGTGGCTAAAATAGCCTATTTTGTCTTTTGTGGCTATTTTCGTCAAAAAAACCCAAAAAGCCTCTTCCCAAACAGAGGAAGTTATGTTATTCCCGAATGAGATAAATAAAATATGATGAACAAATTTAAGGCTCTGGCTGGTGAAACTCTGGAAAGTTAGTTCCAGAACTTCATTTGAACATAATGTTTGTTTAGGATTTTTAAAAACTAATTCCACACTCACTTTTGAAAACGCTATCGGAGGCGGGAAAAATTTGGACTGTTGCTCGTCCCACCGGATGTTCCACTAGTCGTCCAGCCAGTTGACCGGAACAGTGTAATTTATTTATTTATTTAATTTTTTTCTGCGCAATTGATACATGTTAATTTTTATATATTCAATAAAAAATATTTTCTGAATTTTTAAATTTTTTTATGAGTTTTAATAGAATTTTGAGTTGTGTGTTTAGTTATGAGTTGTAAATTTTTATATCAAATTTCATATGTTACATCAAAAATTCCCAACTCAGTTCAAAACTCCTTCACCAAACAAATTTTTTACACTTAAATTATAATTTCAAAACTCGCAAACTCAAAATACAACTCTATTATCAAATCATATTTATAAAATTCTACCAAAAGCAACCTAAAAATCTTAGGGCCTGTTTGGTAACTACTTGTTTGGTAATCATTTCGTTTTCAGTTTTCAGTTTATAAAAAATTTAAAAAAACTATCATAAAAACATCTTTGATAATTTTTTTAGTTTATAAATGGTTGTTTCAGTTTATAAATTCGAGAAAAAAACATAAACTCAAAAAATGAGTTTACATTGGTTGTTAAACAGAAATTTAAAATTTTGACTAATGATCTTTTTTTTCAATTAATTTTTTTCAAATACTTTTTTTTTTCCCAAATAATTGTTTTCAATTATTTTTTTTTCAGTTATTTTTTTTGCAATTAATTTTTTTCCAAATTAATTTTGTTTTCAATTAATTTTTTTCCAATTATCATTTTTCAATTTTTTTTCCCAATTAATTTTTTTAATCAATTTTTTTCAATTATAATGTGTATGATCCCATTGTCATAAATAATAACAAATAAATATAAATATTTTAGGCCTAAACAAACATATTTTTTTGTTTATGTTTTTAAAAATTTTCAAACATTTTGTTCAAACCAAACGCGTTTGTAGTTTATGTTTTTCTAAAAATAAACAAAAACCAATTTATAAAAAAATTGTAAACATAAACTAAAAATGTAAACGTTACCAAACGCTACCTAATCATTTCATCTTCAGCTAATATTTACAAAAAAATTAAAAATTGTCATAAAAACTTGTTTGATAAATTTTTTTGGTTTATAAATGGTTGTCTCAGTTTATAAATTCGAGAACAAAACGTAAACTCAAAAAATGAGTTTACATTAGTTTTTAAACAGAAATTTAAAATTTTGACTAACGATTTTTTTTTTCAATTAATTTTTTTCAATTATTGTTTTTTTCAAATACTTTTTTTTCCCAAATAATTGTGTTCAATTATTTTTTTTCCAAATTTTTTTTTTCAATTATTTTTTTTGCAATTAATTTTTTCCCGAATTAATTTTTTCCAATTATCATTTTTCAATTTTTTTTCCCAATTAATTTTTTTAATCAATTTTTTTCAATTATAATGTGTATGATCCCATTGTCATAAATAATAAAAAAATAGATATAAATATTTTAGGCTTGAACAAACATATTTTTTAGTTTATGTTTTTAAATTTTTTTCAAACATTTTGTTCAATCCAAACGCGTTTGTAATTAATATTTTTATAAAAATAAACAAAAACTAATTTATAAAAATTTTATAAATATAAACAAAAAATGTAAACGTTACCCTACATTACTTTAGTGTTATTGTTTCACAAAACCCACTTAAATTAGAGTGTTTGAATATTGAAGTTATTAAAAATTCTAATATATACCTTTTTAAAAAAGGGTATATTATATACACTTTTAATTATGTTATTTTATTTTTTTTAGTTACGTTCAATTTTTTTCTTTATTTATGTTATTATTTTAATTATGTCTTATGTTGTCTTTAATTATGACATTTTTTCTTTTTTTTAGTTACGACTCAAAAAATTAAAATTATTATTTTTTATTTTATTTTAAGACATAAGGTGCATGTGATGTGCACCATAGTGTTTCCCATTATATAAATGTAATATATATATTTTTGATAATTAGATGTTCGAAATAGTTTATGCGCATCTCAACTAATCTCAAAATTCTAAAGTTAATGATCATGTAAATATCTAGTGTCTCTAAAATTTGGGATGTTTAGCTTTCATGGAATTTAAATCTATGACCTCTTGAATGATAAATTCTGTAGTTGTCTACTCCTCCCACTTAGCCAAACCCTTAGGGCGTGTTTGATTGGAGGGATTAGGGGGGACTATTTATTATTCGGATTGCTTATTCGAAGGAGTGAGCAGTCCATCATTTTTTTTTTTAGTCCGCCAGACATGGAGTCCGGCCGGACTCCTTATTCCCCATATGAGAGATTATACTATCCCGGGGAGGGTGTGGAATAGTTTTGGGGGGATTATTTACTGTTGGGATTAGGTGGTAAAATGACCATTTTGACCATCTACTATTTAATTATGTATTATATTTGAAAAAATTCAATAAAATTTAGCCTCTGTTTGGGAAGTGGGTTGACTTTTTAACTTTTTGGCTTTTTGGTTATTGTCTAGGCTAAAAAGCTTAGTTTGGGAAGGACTTTTTGACTTTTTGACTTTTTTTGACTTTTTTTGTGAGAGAAGAGTGTAATGATTATGGATTGGATGTGATGTTTTGTTTGTTGTGGCTAAAATAACCTATTTTGTTTTTTGTGGCTAAAAAAAAGCCTGGAAACCTTCTTCCCAAACGGTGCCTCTCAATTTAAAAATAAAATAATTTTATTTAACTTTTTATTGATGTTTTATTTATTTAATTTTTTAAAATAAATTTGTATAGATATTTTATTGATGTTTTATTTTAAAATTTTGTTTATATTTTATTTAATTTCATGATTTAAATGTTAATAGATGTTTTATTTAATTTCATTGTTTAATTATTATTATTTTTAAAAAACAAATTTATTTAAAATTTTAATTAAAAAATAACATATATTTATATTTATATTTAATTTATTTAATTTTTAAAAAATAAATTTATTTAATTGTGCAAAAAATAAAATAAAATAAATTTTTATTTAATCTAGCTAAAAATAATTAAAATATTAAAGTTATGTTTAATATTGCTATTATTTAATAAATAATTGAAAAGGATAAAATAGTCATTTGAGTATTTATCATTTTCCATAATATCTTAAACAAACATTGGATTCACTAAAAATAGTCCAATTCAGACATCTAATCCCATGACTAAACAAACATAGGATACAAATCCAGTCCAACCAAATAGTCCGGAGACAATGTATCACAGGACTAATAGTCTGATGAATTACAATTCTCCCTTATTCAGTCCGTCCAAACAAATACACTTTTAAAGTTTATGCTAATGCAATAATAACACGTGAAATAGTATACAAAACGAGAAACAATAGTTGGATTAATATTCAACTCCTGTAGGTTAAATTTTGACAAGTTAATCAAACAGAGCATTAGAAAACTCTGTTTGGTTTGAGTTTTTTTAATAAAGTTTTTTGAAAATTGAATTTTTAGTTTTTGTATTTTTTTTATTTTTAGTGAATATTTTTAAGATTTTAAGCATTTTTTTTTACTTTTTTAGATGCACCTTACTTAGATGTATTTAAAATGTAAAAAATTGTGAAAAAATATTTTAAAAAATTGATAAATACATAAAAATATAAAAAAGATACTGAATTCTCATTTTTTTTTTTGATATTTAGTGAATTTTAAAATATTTTTTTCACAAAAATTATAATGCTAAGTGTGTCTAAAAATTTTAAAAATTGCTTAAAATATTTTAAAAAATCAGTAAAAACAACAAAAATAGCACGAAAAAGAAGAAAGTGGAATTTTCAAAAAAATGTTTTTGAAAAACAAAAAACAAGCAAAGTTGTCTCCATGCTATCCTACTCCCAACTCTTCAAGTCATGTCCAAATACCCCAAAAAATTCGGAATTATGTTTTAAATATGGTAGAATACCGTAATACTACAAACTCATATTTAATTCTTTAAAAATTATGTAAAATTATTATTTTATAATTCAGATTTATTCTATATAAAAATCTCATATCATACAAATTTAATCTCAACCATACAATCTCTTTAAAAATAAATTCAGAATAGTTAAGACAGGGTTCGACATTTTTTAGTAGGATAAATTGCCCTTTTCTCTTTTATGTTTGACATTTTTATTTCATTTTGGCCCTGGCTCTTCCCAGGTTGACTCTTTATATTTCAAATTTTTGTCAACTTATTTCAAATACTAACTTATATCTAAAATTAACATAACACATTGACAACTGTAGGTTCATTTGGCAATGACTTTTTAATTTGATTTTTTGATTTTTTTGACTTTTTTAGCTTGAGATTTTTTTGTTTGTTTAGTTTTCTTGTTTGACTTTTTTAGCTTTTTGACATTGTAATAACAATTTTTTTTTTTTGGTTTTTGACTTTTTTATTTTTTTAACTTTTTTTTTGTCCATATGTGATTATTTAACCCAAAATGTTTAACAAACCGGGACTGTGTAACATAAAAATATTTTATTAAATACAACTTACACATTTGACACAAACTCAAATTCCTATATAATATTTTTTTTTATATCATGTTACAGGTAACGTGACATTTTTGGTCTAATTTTAAACAGTTATTAACTTTACAAGTAAGTTAGAAAGCAAAAAAAATCAAGAACCAATGTGGAAAATTGCTAAACACAAAGCTGACAAAGTGTAACTTACCCTACGAGGTTGTTGGATTTGGGTATTTTTGGAACAGAGAAATTTAGTTATATAATTTCCAGAGTACAATCATAAATGCAGCCAAAAATTAGTTTAAAAACAGAAATAGTGAATTGATCAAGAAACTTTCACCATCACTTGACAACTACTTCAAACATTCATTTGACGAGTTACCAATAGATCTATCATAAATGTCTTCAATTTTATTTAGGCTAAATAACAGGCGTCATGTACATGTGATGAGTCTCCAACCCTAGAATGAAGCGGACCCCGATATCATCAGACTTCAAATGTACAACTGTGGTCAACCATGTGGATTCAAGAAATATAGGCCTTAATAACATCCGAGTAGTTGCAGACCAGACCTGTCCTCGGGCAAGTAATTTTACCATTGTTCTTCTTGGCCATTTCTTCAAGAGCCTGCCATTGCAGAAAAGAAATTAGACTAACAAGTTACAAAAACATAAAAATAAAAACTTATTTATGATGAGAATAATGTGAACCTTGGTGCTGTATACGTAGCCATTAGGTAGGACTAGAGGTGGGTTTTCTGTGTCCATTAGTTCTTTGGTTATGTAGCATACAAGCTTTGAATGATGCTGCTTTGAAAATGGTAACGGCAATGCTAATTTCCGGAAGCTCTCTTGTGACAAAGGGTCTTCTTTGGTGCAATCATCCTCGTAACAGAACCTAAATCGAGTCAAGGTAAAACTATGGACTAAAATGCAAGATAGAACCCAAAAAGAAAGTGTATCAGATTATTAAATTGTTCGGTATGCGTTTTAAGAATGGAACTGATCTTCAACTGACTCAAATCTGGAAAAATAAAATAAAATAAAAATTGAAGCCCAAGCAATATGGGAAGGAAACGCACAAAATAAAACCCATTTTGGTGGTGCAAATGATTTGAAGTGAAAACGTCAATGATAATTAGAAGGTCCCAAAGAAAACTACCATCCTTAAAGAAACCTTAGGAAAGACCTAACATGAGTCAAGTATCCGGATTTTTAGACTCCAATTGTAATGGTATTGAGGCTACAGAAACTGTTAATAGCTAGATGCTAACAATATGAAATAAAATATTGGTAACGACCGAGTAGTGGAGCATGGATACGGAGTTTTCAGAGCAGACAAGCCTGCCTGCAGATAAATATTCAGCAAAGGTTCCAAGGTCATGCCATATAGCCTGCAGAATTCCTGTTTGAATTGGTCCACTAGGTAATCCCATTGTTTTGATTCGAATAAAACCTGTGAGGCGTGACAACAGAAACAAAATTAAACATGTAGCATTAACTTAAAAAACACAAGATTCAAAATTGAAACAAAACCATTGATCAAAGGAAAAGCATATGAGTAGGCTTAGAGTGAAAAATTAAGTGGAAACTAAGTTCCAACATCAGTATGAAAAGGCAAATGAAAAAGTACACATTCAGTGCTACTTTTAAAATACTATACAGTCCATCATCATAATGGCTTGCAATAGAAGACTCATAAAAGATATGGAAAATGTGGTTCACCTTGTATGTCACACATTCAGTACTACTTTTAAAAGCCAGTGTAGCCATGACCCGCTGCAGTTCTTTCATATGGGTAGCTCCCCATGGTGCAAGGTACTTCCGCGCATATGTAATTGCTCGCAAGTTGTTTTCAGCTCTGACCAACTCTATGAAGTCTTGAAGTCTCAGCTGGAATTCAAATTTGCTCTATCATAAAGAAAATATTGAGCATTAAACAAGGTTGCATTACTTTTTTGAAATGCTGAATCTAAGCATTAGGTGCAAAGTTGCAACAAATGCATCTGACAACATTGAGATGCTTGACGTGAGAAGCGTTATTATCAGAGCAATCCATCATGACAAATTATTATAGTCCACCATCCACCAGCAAAATATAAAGATGTGAAGTTCACTAAAGCAAGATGTCTGACTATTTAAAAAGAATCCTACAGAAGGATATCCAGATGCTTGCTTTCTATATGCACTTTGTCATTTGTAGCATTAACACCTCTCAACCTTACAGCTTCTCCAGACAAGAAGATTATGTCCCCCACACCTTGTCCACATGCTCCAATATTGGAAGAAAAAGTGTCTTTCAGGTTCATGATGTCAGGAACTGTGTGCATTTATGTATCTGATGGTAAAAATCTACTTTTTTGTTTAAAAGACTCGGAGTTTGATAACTAGCAATTAACTTTAACCATGGGTTATGCAACTTAAACAAAATTTATAAGCATTATATTCTTCATTTAATATCAGATAAACACTCATGAAGCAGGGCATGCAAATTGTTAGAAGACTTTATCCCTACAATATGTATCCAAAAAAAAAGTTCTACGATGAAACAAAATCAGTTAGGTAACTCTTTTTTCTTTTAAAAAAGCAATTCTACTTTCATTCAATTGGAAGGTTTAACAAATTTAGACACGAAGTAATTCACACTAGAAAAAAAAATCACTAAATGCAAACAACCAATGCATTGTCAAACCCATACTCGGTTGTGATATTCAATGTTGTATCATCACTTCAATCGTATCTGCAATATCCCTTCTTAGCTAAGGCATTTATATTTGGTGAATAGCTGACATGAATGAGAAAGTATGGATCACTGTCAAAGTTATACCATTTTACAAAACCCTAGTCTCCTAATATATTTTCTCATAAAAGACAATAGAAGAAATTCATTTCATTTCAGCACTTAATATGGATCTTAAACTTAGTACCTACCTTAGACTTCTTCAATCTAGACTTGTTATCAGCACACCATGCTAGGGCAGGCTAGGGCAGGAGCTACCTCTTTATTTTGAAGAGCATCAATCACCTTTTTTGCTTCGTTAAATACATCAATATCAACAAGATCCTAGTGCAAAAAGATCAATATTAGTTAGCATAGCATAAAACAATTATAGAAAATACAGTACTCATTTTTGAAAGACCATAAAATGCATTTATTTATGAATTATTAATGAAAAAACAGCTAAAGCATCACTCCTAGGGACCTAGACAACTCAACAAAGAAATGTAATTGTGCAACAATAGTACATTGCATATGTTATTGTTCGTCTGTTCTCTTCTTCTCATGGAACAAGCTATAATTTTTTTTACCATGCACTGATTTTTTTATTCTTTCTTTTTTACAAGGGCCCCCCCCCCCAAAAAAAAAAAAAAGAAAAAAAAAAGCCTGATGGTTAAATTGAAGAAGGAACCTGAATCCATTTTAAAGGGGCATAAATTGGAGAAGAATAATAACAAATTTCAATTGACTCCTGAGTCATGACATAATAATCTTCCTCAGTATCTTGAACCAAAAACATAGTCAAAGGAAAATGCAATTTGATGGACTGCAGACAGTAAAGGGTGGCTTCATCTGACGTCCTATTATGAGTTGTAATAATTGCCAAGTGGATCTCCCTTGAAAGAGCATTTGAAAGGTCAAAGTGCCTCCCAATATGTCCCATTCTTTGTTTGCAGGGTGATTTGCAAGTAATCTTGATTCTTGACTATTGATTATTTGCCCAGAGGGACAAAATGATCCCATATTGGTATTGCAAGTGTAGAATGGCAGAACTTGAAGAGATGATGAGGCATTTTTGGTCATGGCAAGGGGACTAGGGAGCAGTGCAGCATTCTTTATGCCATTTTCAGGATTCAGTGGGACGTGCCGAGATCTGTTATGGAGCTTCTCAAATGCTGCCATGCATGTCATTGTTGAAAAAGTGCCAAGCTTGCTTGGAAAGTGGCGCTAATTTGTGTCATGTGAAATATAGGCAAAGAAATAGGTACACATTGTGGAGGTTCAAAGGCCAGTCTAAGAAAAAAAGAGACCCATGCTGCACTATAAGCATCTTTTAGTTTTGCATGTCAAGAAAAGCCCCCGAGTCTTTTCTTTTATTGATTTTAACAGGGATATGACTTTTGCTAATGGCAATTAGCCTTTGAAGTTATGGTAGATTACATGTATATAAGGATTATGCCTCATTATCATTAGGGACCTATTCAGCTGAAATCCTTAATTACATAATAAAAAAACGCAATACCTAAATTCATTCACCCCAAAAATAATTAATACAAGGCACCCTGCGGATATTATAGCACATAAAATGTGATAGGTTTAAAAATTACCTGTATATTGCAGCTTTCTGCCAGCTTTATTGCAGTGCCATAATAAGACATTCGCAACATGTAGTCCACTAATATCCGCTTCAAACGTGTATTGTTCCATTCTGACAAATTATCAGCATCTGCTGATTCTAAATGATCAACCCGAGCCCGGCACCTCTGAGCTTGCAAGTGCTCTGTATGGCTCCCTTCTTCCAACTGATAGATAACAATCAAATTATCTAGGTTGTTGTTGTAATGGAAGTAGAAAAAATAATAGCAATGCAAAGCTACACATCATGATTTAAGATGAACTTATGCAATGCAGGATAGTTTTGTTTTAATTTTGGACTAGTCTTGTTTGGTTTAACTTTTGAAAATTGTTTCCTAATTTTTTATTTATTTATTTTTTAATGAACTTTTTTCATATTTTAGTCCATTTTTTTCTATATGGACCTAAAAAGTAAAAAATTGTGAACAAATCCGACAAAAATTAATAATTCAGGTTTCTAGTTTAATTGCATCTAAACGGTAAAAAATTCAATAAATAACTAAAATATGAAGAAGAAGAAAACTCAAAAACAAATTTTGAGTTATAAACCAAACAAGTCTATTTAAAAACATGAAGTTCTCCAATTAATTATAAACACCAATAAATAATCAAAACATCAAGTTCTCCAATTATTGTAACTACTGTTCTAGACAAAGTTCCGAACCAAATCAGATTATGTATTGCTCAAATTCGATTTCAATTCTGTGTGTTTTAACATTACCTCTGAAAGCTGACAAAAACAGAAGAAATGCAATTTGAATCTCAACTTCCGAGTTGTTTCAATTTCCAACAAACCACAATAGTACTTGTATCAAACTCTAATTCAAATTTTAAAATGCTCAGCAACCAAACAGAACGTTAGGGACTGGCGTGGTGTATACGTATATACCTTTCTTTTGAGGCCTTGTAATCTGTAGACGAGAGAATTGAGATGTTGAACGGCGTCGTCCGTTGACAATTCGCCGCCGTCGGCGGCCTCGGAGACGCCGGAGATGACGCCGGAGATCTCCTTCTCGACGATGCGGTGGTTGCCGCGGATCGTCTTCTTGTAATGCTCGAACGGGACTCTCAGGAACTGGTGCTCCAGTTTCAGTGACTCTGCCAACTGAGTCAGCTTCGATGCGGTTGCGGTTACGGCCGGGGAATTGGAAACGGCGGTGATCACCGCCGTGGTTGGGGCGGGGGCGGCAGCGGCAGCGGAGTTGCCGTTGGGGAACGTTTCCATTTCCATTGTTTGGAGATAGAGAATCAGATCGGGGTCCATTTTCCTTATTAATCTTCCGCTTGGATCACGAGGTACGGTTTCTCACCGTGTTCTTTACCCTTTGTTTGGCAACGTAGAAAATAAATGAAATTATTCTATAAGCTAGAAAGAAAATAAAACAAAGCTTTTGTTTCATTTGGATAAAATATATGAAGTGAAGTGGGTAAAAATTAATTAAATTAGGTCACGGTGCTCGACCCAATGTTAGGCTCACTCTGAGGTTGGGCTAAGTTGGAGCTTGACCCTGAGGCCAACAGTTGCTCCGAAATAAGACAATCATTGAAGTTTGACCTAGTGTATGAGCGTTACTCTAAAGTGGATACTGAGAAGCTCACCCTAACGTGCAAGACTTGCTCGCTGAGTAACAAATTGTACCTCCAAGTTTGACAATCATTTCGAAATGAACTAACTTGGAGAAAACTAATACACCGAAGGCCTTTCTTGTGCTCACAAGAGACAAACAACTCTGCTTTTCTCCTTCTGTCTGAACAAAATGTGGAGACATAAAGACGCAGAAAGAAAAGGCGCACACACGAGACCTGTACCTGTGCCTGATTGTCAGGCAAAGTGGTCATCCTTCCCCAGTTGGATACAATCATGAATGAGACAAATAGAATAGATCTGCACTTGAGTGTTAGGCGGAGTAGCTGTCATCCTCCAACGAGAGATGACCACAGATAAGACAAATGGGACAGATGGCGAATAGAACAGGACTTGGAGAACAAACAACATTCTCCTATAAAAGATTAACACTATTCACCCTCAAGGCATTCGAAATCCACACAGTCAACATATATACACTCTTTGCATTTTCTCTTCTTATTCTCTCATAGTCTCTGACTTTACTATCGAAGGAGTTTCCAACCAAACCTCGATCAGGCAGTCTCATCATTTGTTACTCTGTGCATATCTTCCTTTCATAGAGCACATTGTTCTTCTATGAATTTCTACCGTTCATCACAGTGCGAAAACTATCCCTGCACATAAAGTCAACTCTTAAATTTGTGAAGATGAAATTGATTTCTTATTTTATTTAATTATTTTACTTGGTAATTATGAATCTAATTGATTGACACATGTAATATGTGTTAACATTTTAAGTTTAAATAAATAAGAGAGAAAATAATTTTAAAAAAAATAATTTAAAGAAAATTGATTATAAATCCAATATAAGGAAGGTATAAGACATTAGGTCCAGTGATTTTTTATTTATTATTTTTTGGTTGGTGATAGGTCCACTTTTTGTGAAATAATTTGGTGAGAAGTCCTTTTGTTAATTGTAGAGGACATTTTGTTTCTAATTTTATCCCTGAATATATATATATTGACTTTTTTTGACAATCTATTCAAATTTATTGACTATCTATTCAATTTTTTCTCTTATCTATTTTTCTCTTAAATTATATATATATCTGTTCAAAAAAAATTGACTATATGTTCAATTTTTTTGCCTAAATTCTATTTATCTACTGCTTCTTTTTTTTCCCTATCTTTCGAAAATCTATGTCAACTTTTTTGTTTATCTATTGTAATCATCTTCATTATTAACATTAATTTTTTTTCAAATCTGTCTCATACATACGCACACTCACAGATATAGATACATACACTCACAGATATACATACATACACCAACACCTATCTATTGCAATCCAAACCAAACCCTATCTGTTCTAATTTTTTTTTTCTCAATTCAAATCTTTCGTCTCTCTCATCCTTATCTGTTGAAAACAAAAACAAAAACAAAAAATTTATTTGTTTCATCAACAACAACAACAACAATATGTTTCATCATCATTAACAACAACAACAACAACAACAATACTAATCAAGAACAACAACTACAAAAAATAAAAAATAAAAAAATCTCAAATCTGAGTTAATAGACTAAATCTATCCATTATCTGTTCAAATTTGTTACAGATCTATATTGCATATGTCAAATCACATTTTGTGACTGTCTTGCAACCTGAGCATAAGTCTTTGGATAATGTGACTATTGAATAATGTTTTAAAGACATATTAATTCATATTTGTGCAAGTAGATCTAAAACAAAGCTTTGGTTAAGATAGAAAGATATCTTACAAGAGTTTCAATAGAGACCCGTGGGTTTTCACCACCTGATGAAGACTCATCTTCGATTTTGATTTCGATCCAAAGCCATAATCAAATATCTGACTTCGATTTGTAGCCCTAGTTGTAGTACAAACTCGAGTCCGAAACCTAGAAGATCCAAAGTTGATTCGTAGCCTCTCTCTCTCAACAATCGATAACCAAAAAAGCTTGATCGACCTCGATCTTCAAATCAGTGTTTTACCGTTTGACTTGACTGAGTGAGCTTCCTCTATATATGGCTTTGGAGAATGCGAAAACTAGTAAATCTACGATTTCGACGATCATTAATTGAAAGAAAGTGGTGGAAAGAGAGAAAAGGGGGAGTAGATGGAGAGCACTGCGAATGAGAGCGAGAGTAAGAGTGAGAAAGATAAAGAGAGAGAGAATGATTTAAGGGCTAGCATTTGGTTGTGGAACCATACACACACACACACACATATATGTATACAGGGATATTTTTGTCATTTTGCAAAGGCTTGTCCTTATGGATAGAAGAAAGTAGCGCTTGGACCTTTGGGTAAGAAAAATTCAAAATTGGATTCATCACCTGAGCGCCCAATAATTTATCTCATATCTTATTTAGTTAAATTACATATAATAAAATATAAATAAATTATTTTATGTTGTATTATCAAAGTAATATTTTATAAGTGGTTATATATTTTCTTAATTTTTTTTTAATATCTAAATAGACATTTTTAATATTTGATGCACATAAATGTTTTAAACACATATGCACAAAAATAAATAAATAAATCTATATAATAAGGCAAGAGTGTTTTTGAATTTATCCTAGAGACATTTGTCCTACTAGGACATTTTAAGGGTCATGATTCATTTGTATATTCACATGGACGGCTCAGATAACCCCCTTAAATTTATATCAATCCTAAATGTATATCTTCCCGCCCAAACATTAAGCCTCCTCCTAACCCACGTCTCCCCTCTATTCTATTTTTAACTCTCTCTTCTCACCTTCCCGCTTGCCCACGTCTCCCCTCTCTTTTATCTTTATCCCTCACCCTTCTCTGTTCTCACCCACCCCATTCCCTCTTTATCTCTCTCTCCCTCATGTTCTTCTTCCACACCCAGTGTGCCAAGTTTTGCTACCGACGCTCCTCTTCATCGCAAGGTAAGTTCTCTCTTTTTCTACCTCTTCCCTTCTCGCTCTTTGATTTCAATTCTCCTTTCCTTTCCCTTACATCCCTTTTGCCTTTTTTTACCCCACCATTTCCTCCGATTTCTTTTCTCTTTTTGGGGGTTTTGAAAAAGAAAACCTAGAAAAATAAATTGACAGAGATAGTTTTGAAGTGATTCTTTACTCGGCTAGCTCCGGTTACTGGAAATTTCACTTCAGCACGTGTGATTTCAGTTGAAAATGACATCTCGATTCGTTTACACGCCTTTGTACATTTGGAATTTCTGTTTCTGTTTATTAATATTTGGCTATAAAGGTATTCTTTTTGAATTTTAATTTTAATTTTGTGATTTTGTAGGTATGAGGCGACGACATTGCTTACATTGCTTCAGGAAGTGGCTCAGATTCAGGATGTGAAGATTGATTGGAATGCCTTGGTGAAGAAGACTGCAACTGGGATTTCAAATGTAAAGGAGTATCAGATGCTGTGGCGGCATTTGGCTTATCGTGATACACTACGAGACGAGAAACAAGAGAAAAGACCCAGAACATAAACTTGGTCAACACCCAATCCAGATACCATGCTATAGTTTTGAAAGCATCCAAAATTGAACCAAGCTTTTTGTGGCATAGAGAAGCAAAGTTGGACAAATCTGTAATAATTCAAATGTTGGTTTCAGGTTATTCAAACAATCTGCTCTATTTTTATTTTGCCTCTATGGTTTAAATTGATGTTCTTTGTGGCTGTCTGTTCAAACCCCAAAACAGAAGATTAATCCCAACTTCTAGATTCTGGGTTCATTGGACTGATATTTTCATGTTTTAGTGAAGATGTGCTCAAAGCCTGATGTTTTGATTATCTAAGCTTTACTTTTGTTCTTGGATTGTTTGCTTTTATTTACTTATAAACATCTGAAAAATGAATTAATAGAAGGCATGTCAATACAGGGGTTTATATAATGGATTCTTGCTGTTGTATTGTCATGTATATAGTGGACACACACAAGTTACGTACAAACTATTCTCTGCTGTTTTGATTGGGTTTGTGTTGCTGAGGAAATGGTTTTCTTACCTGTGTTTTTCTCTATGATGTTTTCAACTGGCTGTAATTAATGAATGATGGTAGAACCAAAATATTCCTTGATGGTCTTTTTCATCAATCATATGTAAAAGGCCACTGATAAATTATGTGAAGTTTTTGTCTTATCGAATCATAGATTGAGAGTTGTGCCCATCTGAATCATCAATTATGAATTGGATGCTTTTGAGCTCTTTTATAGTGTAGGACTCAACCTTGATGGCTCACTATTTTGTAAGATGAAGGCCATAGTATTTTGTGTGAACTTTGTTGGTATGTTTTCTGTGGTGGTTTTCTTTCCTTTTTATTGGGATTGCATGCATCGATTGGCTAGAAGCTTACTTTTGCTCAGTTAAATCCAAGTTATTGCTTTCCAGTCCTTGGATGGCAAGCAGAATCATATGTTGAGAGCACTTCCTCTCGCACCTGTAAAGAGAAGTGCAGTTATAGATCTTGAGTCATCATTGAGTTCCTCAGAAAATGCACTCACAAGGTCTGGCACTACAAAGACAGAAAGTCTTGAACAAGATACTGGCAATTCGAGAGCAACTGTTGGGGCTTTTAAGGCATATTGCTTGATTCTTAAACTTTAATAAATAAAATTCTATTAGATGCTGGAAGGTTACAATTCTATTCCTGTATTGATCATGTTGCTGGTGTGTGTATCTACTTTCATTGGAAGTGTTTTTTGGTTAAGAGTACTGTTGTAAGGAACCTTATTTATATGTTGAGATATTATCCTTTAGGCCAATAATGGAGTCCCATGGCCT